AAGAAAAGACTTAGAGTATTTGGATCTAACGGAAGACATGACACAGGATCGAGCACAATGGCGTTCTAAGATTCATATAGCCAACCCCACTCAGTGAAGAAGGCTTTGGTGTATTTAACATAATACGTTGAAATGAAACAAAGCTTATTTATTGATATCTCCGATAAGTTACAAATATGTACATATACATGAGTCAAAATAAACAAACAAGAGGGAGCGTTCACAAAGGTTGCTTAGGAGAAGTCTCAGCAGTCGGTAGAGCCCCAGAAAGAGAAGCCACCGGAGGGGGATCATTCGGAGCCTCAGTACTGGACAGAACCCTAGAAGGAGGAAGCATCGAAGGTTGATCATTTGGAGCTTCATTACGCGGTACAGCCTCAGAAGACGAAGGCAATAAATGCCTTTGGAACAAACCCACAAATCGCTGATGATCAAGTAAAACCTGACCATCAGATTCCTTCATCTGGTCAAGCTTCCTCTTCATGTTTGTAGCATAGTCATGTGCGAGCCGGTGCAACTGTTTATTCTCATGCTTGAGCCCTCTAATCTCCTGTTTGAGACTCATCACTTCAGCCGCCAATGATTCAACTTGGCGGGTTCGAGCAAATAGGCGATGGGCCATATTAGACACAAAACCCGCACACTAAACACTTAGAGCCAGAGAATCCTTAACAGCCAACTCATCAGACCGTTTGGAAAGTAGTATGTTATCTTTGGGAGTGAGAAAGTTCCTGGCCACCACCGCAGCAGTCATATCATTCTTCATCACGGAATCCCCAACGGTAAGCGGACCAGTAGGGGATAAGAAGGATGGGCGCCATATGTTGTCTGGAGAAGGCGTGGCTGCCTCTTCAACGAGGTTCAAGTCAAAACGACGGTAGGAGGGGCCAAACATTTTCAAAGGTGTTGAAGAGAGAAGAGGTCGGACAAATCAAGATCTTAGAAGTGCAAGAAGGGAGCTTCTACTGGTGAAGATTCAAGTGTGCTTTGGAACTTAATGACAGCCTCTATAAAATCTGCACTCGACGGAGCTTCAGAAATCGAATAGGCGCCTGCCCAAAAATCGAAGAGGCGTTTGCTTTCTCAAAAGTTGGGCTGCTCAGAGACCACTAGGGCCGATCTCAGAAATTGAAGAGGCGTTTGCTTTCTCAAAAGCTGGGCTGCTCAAAGACCACGAAGGCCGATCTCAGAAATCGAAGAGGCGCTTGCTTTCTCAAAAGCTGGGCTGCTCAGAGACCACGAGGGCTGATCTCAGAAATCGAAGAGGCACCTGTTTTTTTCAGCCTTGTCAGCACCTATCACATGCACACTCAGCTTTGCTGAAATTACGGGCATTCTGTTGAAGATTTCTGGTGAAGTAGAAAGCACGTGAATCTTACTGTTCAATCATCCACTTTCCACACGCACCATCAGCTCATGGGCAATACCACAGATAACTTTGCCAAAGATCTCTGACAAAGTTTAGACACGTGAAGCTTGCAGCTCCCACTACATCGCTATGACCAAGAAGGGTAAAAGAATAGTAAAGAAACAGCACTAACAAAGTTTAGACACATAAATTTTGAAAGTCTAGCTACCATATTATTACCTACAAAGGTAAAGGAACAGCACCGCTGCTGGATAATTGGAAAGTCCTTGTGTGTCAACCTCTGTGCTCTGTGGCAAGGTAGACTAGCAAACATGCCCAACCTTTACTTACATTCGAGAAAACACTCCTAACAAGATTGCTTGCTCTAAAATCGAAGAGGCACCGTCCTCCGAATCTCGAGAGCCAGACTCCCAACATGATTACTTTCTCAAAAATCGAAGAGACACTACTCTCCGAATCTCTAGAGTTAGACTCCCAGCAGGATTGCTCTCTCAAAAATTGAAGAGGCACCGTTTTTCGAATCTCTAGAGCCAGATCCCCGACAGGATTGCTTGTACGAAAACCGAAGAGGCACCGCTTTCTCAACTTCGAGAGGCAGATCTCCTTGGATAAAGCTTGTCTGTAATCTTTACACGCAACATCAGCTTTCTAGATACCACAGACCACTTTTTCAAAGTGCTCTGACACACGTGAAGCTGGCAGCTCCCACTACCGTGTTATGACCAAGAAGGGTAAAGGAATATCATTACTACTTGTTGTTAGGGAAACTCCTATATATGTCAACCTCCATCCTCAACGGACAGGCAGACCTGCAAAAATGCTCAACCCTTCCTCATATCTGAGTGGGCACTCCCAACGAAGCCTCTCGAAATACTCAGTTTTCTTTCCCCTCGATAATACCTCTGCAAACAAGCTACACCAGAGCAAGAATATCTCATATCATCAGGGTTAAAAGCAAGAGTATCCCATATCATGCTTTTTCCCTGTCTTTTCCTTTGGCCTTGTTCTTACCTGCAAGACAAGGAGAAAGAGAGCAATCAGTCAACACTTGGAATCAAGCTTCCAGTCAAAAACTAACTGCCTGGAACCCCTTACCTGATTACTTACCTGGCATTGCTCTCGAGTAACCATCTTCAACATCTTATGCTTCCAGAGAAGATACCACATCTGCTTAAGGAACAGATAGGGAAAATGAGAAGGATACAAGGAAACATGTGGAGACAAGCGTAACAGAACATGTGCCAATACATCCACTACTTTGTCAACAGCAAAAGTATCCTATATCAGCAGGGTCGAACGTACTCTAGATTTGATGGACGTGTTTTGACCCTCAAATTCTTCAGTCGGCCTTATACTCTGGAGGAAACCAGAAAATCCTCCAGCCCAGTTCAATAATAAGCCTGTGGAAAGTTAATTCTTCAAAAGCAAAAGTATCTCATCTCATCTATTCTCCTTTTCTTCTCTTTATCCTTCATGCTGCCTGCAAGATAGGGAGAATGAGAACAATCAGCCGGAACTCGAAATCAAACTTCTGATCTGGGACTGATTGCTTGGAGCTCTGATTGCTTACCTTGTTTGTCACCTCTCTCAGCAGATCCCCTAACTCGGCGACTTAGGGGACTCCTACTACATGGTTTGTATCGCGCTTGACCAAGCCTGAAACTACAAGTAAGCTTCAAGTGAAATTGATACATTACCTTGTGCATCTCCACCAGTTAAAGATACCACCCCTGGATGGAGGAAGCGTACTTCCAGAGAAGATGCCACATCTACCTATGAGACAGTTAAGGCAAGTGAAGACGAGAGCTTGCACCTATGTCATTTGTATTAAATCATTCACTTGTACTCACTAAAGGAGAGCTTGAACCTATATACTTGCGTAAACCCTTCACAATTAATGAGAACTCCTCTACTCTGTGGACTTAGCCAATCTGGGTGAACCACGTACATCTTGTGTTTGTTTTCCTGTCTTTATCCAAACTTAATACTTTCTGTTGTACCAAAGTCCTCACTGATTTTGTGCATCAACAATCCTTAAGTCCTTACCTTTTTGCGTTGGTAATGGATGAGTTAACAGGACATATTCAAGACGATATTCCTTGGTGTATGCTTTTCGCACACGATATAGTGTTGATAGATGAAACTTAAGAGGGGTAAATGCGAAGCTTAACTTTTGGAGAGAAATGTTGGAACTAAAGGTTTTCGCCTAAGCCGATCAAAGACAGAATATATGGAGTGCAAGTTCATTGCAAATGGAGGCCAAAATGAGTTAGGGTTGAGGATCGGAGATCAGGAAATACCAAAGAGCGACCGTTTTCGCTACCTAGGATCTATCTTGCAAAAGAACGGAGAATTAGATAGAGATCTCAACCATAGAATACAAGCTGGATGGATGAAGTGGAAGAGTGCTTCCAGCGTGTTGTGTGACCGTCGTAGGCCACTAAAGCTCAAGGGAAAATTTTATAGGACGGCAATAAGGCCGACGATGCTGTATGGCACAGAATGTTGGGCGGTGAAGCATCAACACGTACACAAAATGGGTTTGGACATGTACAAAGAAGGCCTACTGACGCTCCGGTTTGAAGATGTGACTACGGGATAGAGGTTCAGGGCCGAAGGGGTAGAGGTAGACCTAGGAAAACTTTGGAATAGAACCTAAGAAAAGACTTAGAGTACTTGGATCTAACGGAGGATATGACACAAAACCGCGCACAATGGCGTTCTAGGATTCATATAGCCGACCCCACTTAGTGGGAAAAGGCTTTGTTGTTGTTGTTGATATGGCTATCGGGAACAAGCCATTCTTAACAAGTTACAACAGTACTTATGTTAAAAATGAATACCCGTAAGTGAAAAACGTCCAAAAGGCCTAGATGAAGCTGGCGTCGGAGGAAACATCAAATGCATGGTGCCCTTCTGTAACATCCCACATCACCCAGGGAAGTGATCCTTAAATGTATATTCTCATCTCTATCTAGCACGAGGCCTTTTGAGAGCTCACTGGCTTCGGGTTCCGTCGAAACTCTGAAGTTCAGCGAGAAGGTGGCTAGAGCACTCCCATGATGGGTGACCCACTGGGAAGTTGCTCATGAGTTCCCAGAAACAAAACTATGAGAGTGTGGTCGGGTCCAAAGTGGACAATATCGTACTACGGTGGTGGAGCGGGCCCAGAAAGTGATCCGTCCCGAGCCGGGATGTGAAAATTGGTATCAGAGCCTAACCCTGGCCGTGGTGTGCCGACAAGGTCGTCGGGCCCCTTAAGGAGGGTGGATTGTAACATCCCACATCACCCAAGGAAGTGATCTTTAAATGTATATTCTCATCCCTACCTAGCACGAGACCTTTTGGGAGCTCACTGGTTTCGGGTTCTGTCGGAACTTCGAAGTTAAGCGAGAAGGTGGCCAAAGCACTCCCATAATGGGTGACCCACTAGGAAGTTGCTCGTGAGTTCCCAAAAACAAAACCATGAGGGTGTAGTCGGGACCCAAAACGAACAATATCGTGCTACGGTGGTGGAGAGGGCCTGGGATGTGATGGATACCGGGTCGGGATGTGACACCTTCAATGCTGATGTATACGAATCTCCTTCCAACAAACCATCAGACGGGCGTTTTCGAAGGTTGTGAAATAAATGTCGAAAAGACTAGAGTACCTTCCTACGCATAGGGCGCCATTTGTTGTCAACATTTATCCCTTCCTTAGTCTCTCCAGAAGCTTTGGCTTCCCAAAAGAATTTGCTTTCTTTGATGGTGGTGGCAAGACGGTTAGAGACAACGGTGACCCGTACAATAATGTGTTTGATGCAAATTATGATACACTTCTTTGGACGCTTAAGAAGGCAAGCGTCCCGAACTTGGATATCGTAATTGGGGAAGTAGGATGGCCTACTGATGGCCAGGACTACAGGAGTAAGAAATCGGCGAAGAAGTTTTATGATGGCCTCCTAAAAAATTGGCAAGTCAAGTGGGAACCCTTTTTAGGAAGAGCTACTTGGAAGTGTACCTATTTGGGCTCTTTGACGAGGATCAGAAAAGTGTTACTCAGGGGACTTTGAACCCCATTGGGGAATATTTAGCTATGATGGCAAGCCTAAATTTCCCATGGACCTCTCCGGCCAAGAGTCCGAACATCAGATGCTCAAAGGCGTAGAGGGATTGAAAAACTTGCAGAAGCAGTGGTGTGTGTGTTGAATAGCGATGTCAGGAACTTGAGCCGTGCACTAGCGGAATTCAATTACGCATGCACTTGGGCAGACTGCACAAGCTTGGGAGGGAAGAGGTCGTGTGACTTGGAAATGCATGATAGAATCTCTTATGCTTTCAATGAGTTCTACCAAAACGGAGACCAAGATGTACGGAAATGCAATTTCAGAGGCATGGGAAAGAAGGTAACACGAGATCCCTCTCAAGGAGATTGTCTATTCCGTATACAGATTGATTTATTATTTGTTGCCGGATGGAGGCACGCCCTAGGTTGTGCATCTACATTATTGTTTTTCATCATTGCCTTCTTCACATTATTCTAACTTTCTTTTATTTATTCGTTTATACAAGCAACAATGAGGAAGAAATGAATTTTTGTTTTCCTTTCGAAATATAAACCTTCTGCACAACATATCCTCAATCAGAGGGCCGGCCAGCAGCACCAAATGCGACGGCCATTTATAAGCTTCGAATTGAGTTGTGAGAGAGGCGTTGAGAGTGGGATTTTTAGAGGGTTACAATTTTCCAAATACTTTTTACAGCAAATTGTGCTTTTTTTGGTTTTTGTCAATGTTTCTGTATTGTTTTCATTACAGTTTCATCCATGATCAAACTCTTCTCCAACTAGTTCTCATCACATTATATTCAAACTACAAAAACTCATATTGCTAACGTAGCTATGAACTGTCGAGAAAGACATCTCTTAAGCTTAAAAATGTTAGGTGTAACTTCACTGACAAGTGACAACTAATAAATATGAAGCAATAAAACCATCTTCGTATGTTGGCAACCTTCAACAGTGCAACAGTAACATGCACGCTTGCAATTTCAATTCACTGAATTCAATTTATCATCAGATAAGGAATTGGAAAGAAAGAACATTGCATCTAAAATTAAAGTTTAAAAGTGAGATTCAACCAAATTGTACATCGAGTATCACACGTTAAATGCATCCGTTAATTCCATGTGTAACTACAAGATGTATAGGAAGAAACCAAATTTTCTGATAATAGAAACAATTAAAGCTTGTCGAATTTCCAAAAGCATTACAAGTGCAATTTCAAAGAATTTTAGGCCGACTATAGTTGGTCCATAAGGGGACGTTTGATACGTAAGATTGGCTTGGCTAGGCTTAAACTAACTGTAGGATTGCCTTGGATTAGTTTGGCGTAAATTTAGTCTTGTCCCAGTTTTGGTGTTACATGGGATTAGGAGGAGGATAGCTGCAACCCAAGCGATGAGGTATCCAGTAGAAAGGAAAGGTAATGGAGTCTCTCAGACCAACAATCTCAAATCTAACCAAACCCAGCGAACCATATAGTTTGAACTTTTATCCGCGTGAACTGCGTGTTATATCAACCATAATTGCTACTTTTTTAGACTCTTTAGTTTAGATTCTTGTTATGTTTTTTAGTGAGTTTAGTTTGCTTTCACTTAGTTTCTTGCAGTTGGTAGAGTTTTTTTTTCATGTTCTTCGAGTAATTATTTGCAAGTATGTCCAAGTCTCTATCTCATGTTTGAGCTCTCTAATCTCTTGTCTAAGATTTGTCACCTCAGCCACTAATGATTCAACTTGTCAAGTTCGAGCAAGTAGACGTTGGCCCATGTTGGATACAAACTTGCACACTGAACATTGAAAGCTAAAGAGTCTTGAACAACCGATTCATCAGACCATTTGAAAGGTATTCTTTTACCCTTAGAAGTGAGAAGGTTCCTAGTTACCAGTGTAGCGGTTAGATCATTCTTTACCACAGAGTTCCAATCATAGGAGGACCGTTGAGGACAAGAAGGATGGGTACAAGATATATATTATCTTGAAGAGGCACTTTCCATAATGCGGGCAACTTTCCAAGCGTGCTTTTGTTGGATACAATGGATGCCTCTATAAAAGGAGAGGCAACATGGCCACTTGTTCAAAAATTGAAGAGACATGGCTCTTCAAATTTCAAAAGCCAGATTTTCCTTAATAAAGTTCGTATGCACTTCTCAGACGCAATCTCAACTTTTTGGATATCAAAGACAACTCTGTCAAAATTTCTCTAACAAAATTGAAATGCGTAAATTTTACTCTTCCAACTACACCACTGTTGTCGATAAGCGGTGAATGAGATTGTCCTAATAGCACTACTTCCTACTATTGGAAAATTCCTATATATGTCGACCTCCGCCCTCCATGGTAAGGCAAACCTCCAAAAATATCTAACTCTTCTTCATTGCTGAGAATGCATCTTCAACCAAGCCTCTCAAAATACTCAGTCATCCTCCTTTCTGAGAATACCTCTTCAACCAAGTCCCTCAAAATACCCAACTCATTCCTTCAGCAAGAAAATATTTTTGATCAAGAAGTTTTATATCAGCATCAAACTCTTCTACTATTTTTCTTCAAGAGAAAAAGTATCCCTTATCATTAGGGTTAAGAACAAAAGCATCACATATCATGCTTTTCTCTTGTCTTTTCCTTTGCTCTTGTTCTTGCCTACAAGAGAAGGAGAAAGAAAGCATTCAGTCAGAACCTGATATCAAACTTTTGGTCCAGAACCGATTTCCTGGAACATTGCTTGATTACTTACCTTGCATTGTTGTCGAGTAGTCATCTTCAACTGTTGTTAGACCTGAGTTTCAAATCACCAACACCGCAGAATAGTTGGTACGATGTTGGCTCTTTGCATTGAAGCTGCTAAGCATGGATGAGTCACTAGTTTGAAGGATCATCCAAAGGCTAAAGGTTGAGCACCACTTATGTTGTGCAGGTGACTGAAACTTAAGGATCAACGATGAACCAATAGAAGTTCAAAGAGAGAAAATGAATGGCTAACTAAATGGAAGACCAAAGTTCAATGATGGGAGCTCACGACCATAGCAAACTCTACCTAAGTTTATGACGACCAAAGGGCAAGAACGACTCCAACTATTATTTTGTCTCACCATTTTATATCATTCCAATGATGTACAAAAGGTAATTCAACCTTCACGATTACTGTTAAACTATCAAATGCATTAATAAGTTACAAAGATGCCTCATGGATTGAAGTCTCCGTAAGACTATTCATGGATTTGGCACTATTAAACAGTTGCACACCCGAAGTGTGGCAGTTGCTGTATGGATTCAAGTCCCAAAAGGACAATCTATGGACATGGCAATTCTACTATGTACTGTGTCTCATCCTTGAAGATCTATAGGTTCTAGTGATTCAACTCCCTAGAAGTGGAGATTAAAAATCCAAGCTCTATAATGCGCTAGAGAAGGTTATGATCCAAATTCTCCAAACAAGTCATCTAATAAGAGATTACTGTCTTAAAAGAGACAATGTAAAGCCCCTAAAGAGGCAAGCATATCCAAAGTAATGAAATGCTTATAAAATATGCATGTGCATGCACATGAGAATTATGGGATCACGAATTGATGATAACCAATGTTAATTTTTGTTTTACAGTAGCTACTATATTCATCAATGAGCTGTATTAATATTGAGCAATGTTCTTTTGTTCATTGACGAAACGAAAAATTATAGGCCAAAAATGGAAAGATGCAATTCCATTACAATTTGTAAAAACGTGGAAAAATGAACCTGTAGTATAAATCGCCAAATAATGTTGAACCCAGAAGGTTACATATGAGCATTTGTAATACAATAAATACCCTCAAATGATATGACACAAGGTTCCTAGTTGAAACCTAAAATTGAAATATACACCTGTAAACATGATTTTCCATTGTGAAACTTGTTCATTTGAATGGAGAACTTTATGTATTATACGAAGCATATATCTCCATAAGTTAATCCTTCAAGTATACATAGAAGCAAATTGCTCTATATAAATTCCAAAGGGGAATGTGTCATGAAGTGTAGAAAATCCTTGAAGAATTCAAATTGCTTAAGGTAAGCCTAAAAAGGTAAAGAACAAATTATGTACTCGATACCAATGGATGATATCAATTGCCTTAGTGAGTACTTTTATTATGATATTATTGCAATATACTAAATCTCTTGCAAGAGTTGATATTAGAATGGGACTCTTGAAGAGTATAGAAAAATTATGAAGTGTTGAATATTGTCTCAAGTTGCCATCGAACAATAAACCAACACAATTCTTATCCATCAAAATGTTTATGGTATTAAAGAACCATATGGATTGAAGATTATGAGTTGAACACTCAAATAATTAACCAATATTTAGACACTAAGAAAGGTCATTCATTCTTGTGAGGGAAATGATGAATTGATATTTTGGTCCATAAGTATCATATCTTAATGAAGTATGTGCCTTATTGTATTTAACACAATACACTAAATCCTATGTTACATTTCCTATGAATCACAATACCAACAGATGGGTATTAGAATGAAGTGAAGCTTATCTATGGACATCTCCAAGAAACTATAGACATGTGCTTATTTTATTCCAAATAACTCATTAATAGCCATGGTCTTAGTGGGCAAGCAAAATTTGAATATCTCTCTAGCTTGCATACATATCGCTTAGAGAAAGGATTTTATATTCATATTGAAATAGATTCAATGATGCAAATATTTGTTGTTATATCTTCATATCTCACAAAAATACATATCTTTAAAGTTTTCCAGTACACATGAGCTTCAAAAGGCTAAAGTTATTGAAGTTAGACAAATTTATTCCAACGATAAATTGGCAGACATCTTCACCAAATCTCTATCAAAGTGTACATTCCAGAAGTTTATGCATAATATAAGATTACATCGATTTAGTAATCAGTAGATTCATGATTGCGGAATCAGGAAGAGATACTCACCAGGGGGAGCATCCAAGACACATTCGTGTTGTACTCTTTTTCTTCCAACTACAATTTTTCCCACTAAGTTTTTCTTAGCAAGGTTTTAATGTGGCAACTGATATTGACGTATGGGCATCCAAGGGGGACTGTTGTAAAAGCAGTGTGAATGGCCTCTATAAAAGAAGTACCCACTTGAAGCCTTTGGACATCAAGTCGTGGTTGGTAGGTTCATCACCCTAACTTTTGTATTTAATATTATTGACTAATGGAAATGTGAGGTAAAATGAAGAAAAGATGGTTGGCCATCTGCCTATAAAACCAAGAGGAGGAGAAGTAGCAGAGAACATAGGAGAGAAATATATCAGTAAGCTATAAGGCTAGAGAGAAGAAAGAAAAATAGTGAGAGATATCTTTGTACTCCTATTATTTCAAATAAAGAAAGAAATGTAAGTACACTTGCCAAACCTCGTAAATATTGTGTCTTATTTACTTTATATTATACTACACACATATTCTCCATTTTACAACAAATAAAAGTCATATACTGTGTCTGTATGTGCTTAAATATATAGAAATAAATAAAAACAAGTTTTTCTCTCTTGTTTGAATTAAAAATAGAGTTTTAATTTAATAGAAATTAAATTTTTTTTTTAAAAAAAAGGAAAAAGTAGGAGGTGAGAAAGATAAAGTGAAGGAGTAAAATTATGATTAGATGTCAATGAGGAAAAGAAAAAAGAAAGCAAACTTTTTATGTACGTAATTATTTTATTGTCCATTTTTTTCTGATATTTTCTTTTAAGTATGCATTAAAGGGTATAATAATATTTTTTTTTGTTTTGCAAAGAACGTTTTGTT